TTCCAACCAGTCCTGGTGGATGGGGACCGCGTCCATGTCGTCTACACACAAAGCGCGGAGTCCCGCTTCCTTGTCGGCCTGGGAATGCTGGAGCAACAGTTTCTCTGCTTGAATATGGCGCCCTGGCTCTCCACTGTACACCAGCCACTTGCTCTCGGAAGCGCCCCGCTTGTCCAACTGCGAGCCGTTGATGTAGCCCTTCAGGTGATCGCTGAACTCATCCGGCTTCGAAGCGAAGAGGTGCCGCTCGAGCTTGGCGTCGGCCAGGGCGTCTTCTTCCGCGAAGAACAGCGCGTGCAAATGTGGGCGCCCTGATCCGTCGTAGCGCTTCGTCCCCTCCTTGCGGCTCCCGTCCTGGAACTCCAAGCGCGTGAACGACGTGACAGTCTTCGTCGTCTTGCCGTCTTCGGTCTTGCAGGAGATTTTTTTTTTTTTCCTTCTCCTACCTTCGATCAGCCCGATCCTGGCTCTGCTGGTTGTTGCCTGCGTTGACGCCGCGGACGATCTGCATGAGCGAGTGGGTGATGTGCAGGGTCCGCGTCCTCAGCGTTTTGTGCATCTCGTCGCGGAGCCACTCGTGGTACGGGAAGGACTGCTCCCACGGCGATATCGTGAAGAACAGGTTGGGCAGCCCCACCTGTCGAACGAGGTCCACGAGCGCGTTCAGCGTGTCCTTCCAGTACAGCGGCGAGAACGGGTGGCCCTGCATGCGGATGCGCATTGGCACGTTCTCCAAGTTCAATTTTTTCTTCGCCCCTAAAGTAGCCCAGGCGCTCCCGCGGGCCTCGTAGCGGGGTCAACTGGGGCGCGCTATCGCCGAGAGCGCTTCCGTGCGAACCCGCTCGACAATATCGCCCCTCTCGCGCGGCGGCTGTCCCCCGGACGTCCCGGAAGCCCGTTGCGCGCCTTCGTGCGTGCCCCTTTCGCGCGTGCCCGCTCGCGTTCCGCCGGGCGTGGCGCCTGGCGCCCTCCTGGGCGCTATCTCCGAGCTATTTTTGAAGGGCGCCACAGACGGCGCCTGCGGCCTCGCCCCCGCGCCCGCTGCGGCCGCGGCCCACGCCCGGCGTGGCGCCTGGCGCCCTCTCCGGGCGCTATCTCCGAGCAGTCTTTGAAGGGCGCCACAGACGGCGCCTTCGGCCTCGCCCCCGCGCCCGCTGCGGCAGCGGCCCACGTTCGGCGTGGCGCCTGGCGCCTTCTGGGCGCTATCTCCGAGCTATCCTTGAAGGGCGCCACAGACGGCGCCTTCGGCCTCGCCCCCGCGCCCGCTGCGGCCGCGGCCCACGCCCGGCGTGGCGCCTGGCGCCCTCCTGGCGCTATCTCCAAGCTATCTTTGAAGGGCGCCACAGACGGCGCCTTCGGCCTCGCCCCCGCGCCCGCTGCGGCCGCGGCCCACGCCTGGCGTGGCGCCTGGCGCCCTCTGGGCGCTATCTCCGAGCAGTCTTTGAAGGGCGCCACAGACGGCGCCTTCGGCCTCGCCCCCGCGCCCGCTGCGGCCGCGGCCCACGGGGGAACGGAGGGGGAGGGGGCAGGGGCCACCCAAAGCCGCGGACCGACCCCCCTGTGAGGTCCCCGTGGGAGGGCGGGGGGGAGGGCCAGAGGGTTCTGGATGCGGTAGGGGGGGTGTCCCTGTCGGTGGAGGAGAACGTCACTCCCGCCGTGCTGCAGCTGTGCTGCTACTTCTTCCTCCACCTCTGGTCTGCAGGCGGTTTCGCGTCATGCACAACCTCGGCAGTGCCGCCACTGGCGGACTCTCGAGGACATCCGAGTTCCAAGTTCCAAGTTCCTCCACCTCCTGCTCTCTCCGCACCCTCCCCGCACCCCCGCCCAAGCGTCACGTGGCGCAGGGCGCCGCGCTGCCCCGTGCCACGGGATTGGCCTTCCAGGGCGCTGCAGGGGTTCGTGATGTGGTCGGAGCAGTGGCCGCAGTAGTGACGCCGCAGCTGGCCTGCGATGTGGCCTCAGGGCTGGGCTAGTGTCGCCATTCTCGACGTCGCGGGGGTGGCGCTTCATGTCCTTGCACTTGTGGTCGAACAGGGAGTGCGCGTATTGGCGCCTGGCCTCGGCGCGGTCCCCACTCCGTGCAGGACCTTGGTCTCGAGGCTGTGCGTTTCCTCGGTGACGAAGCCCTCGCTGTGCTGGGCGTCGATCTCACGCCCGCGGGCGTGATGCTCCTCCTCGTCGGCGTTGAAGGCTTCCTGGGAGCTTTCTCGCTGCGCCCGAGCTGCGCTACCTCCTCGAGCGCCTTGCACCGCAGTTCCTCGGAGCAGGCCCGCGCGGCTGCCGCGGCTTCAGCAGGCGCGGTTGCCGTGGCTGGCCTCGGCAGCGCGGCAGCGGCTGTCCTGGGCCCGGGCGCTGAGGCCGATCCTGAAGCTCCGCTCTCCTGCGCCGCCTCCTTGCCCTGCTGGTCGTGGCTGTTCTCGCCAGCCTCGGGCGGCTGGTCGGGCGCCTCCAGCGGGCGCGCGAGCCGAGGGAAGACGACCATGGTGCTGCAGGTGCACATGACGGATGACGGTATTGAAGGCGACGCTTGCAGGCCTGGAGGGCCTGGAGCCTCTGCGTCATCTCGTCTTTGAGCGATGCGATCTCCGAGTCCGTTATCGCGGCAGCTTGCGCGCGAGCGCCATCGGGAGATGACCTCCCCGGCGGCGCCAGTGGGCAGGAGCGCTGGCGCTTCCCCAACGGAGAGTCCACTGAGCGGGGGAAAAGATCATGGGGCAGTTTTGGTTAAGAGTGATGGGGCCTTCTATTCATTCAGGGACAGAGTAAGACCGTTCCTGCCCCAACCCCACGATCATCATCGAGATGCGCGTGGCTGGGGACTGGGGAGAGAGAGAGAGAGAGAGAGAGAGAGAGAGGAAGAGAGAGAGCGAGAGCAGGCGAATTCGGGCATGAACGCTGGCGCTTCCCTCCTCCGGCTGGGGCGGCATTCTGGCCCGAGAGGCCCGTGGGCCGTGGGCCCGTGTGCCGTGTGCCGTGGGCCCTGTTCCTTTGGCGCGTGCCGGGTCCTTCCCCTGTGTCGGGTCGCCCAGCCTCTTTGGGAACCATCGCCCCGGGGAGCGCCCGGGGTTTTCCTCCCGTGAGGTGCCCTTGGGACTGTGCCTGCAGGAGCAGTGCTGGCCTTCTGGTTCCCCTCGTGGAGGCGCTGGTACTGGTCGGAGCGCCGCGGGTCCCAGTCAAAGTGCTGCCGGTTCCAGCTGGGGTGCTGCTTACCCCAGTGGCAGTCCTGCTTGTTGCCCTGGTAGCGGTAGCGCTGCTGATCCCAGTCGAGGGGCTTCTGGTTGTGGTTGTAGCGCTCCTGGTCCACGTAGGAGGGCTTCTGGTCGCAGTTGTAGCGCTACTGGTCCTTGTCCAGCTATCTCTTGAAGGCTGTAAGGAAGTGTGTCGACGATGTCATTCCTGCTGGTCTCGATGCTCCTCCAGATCGCATGTGTAGCCCTTTGGCTAGCGGGTCGGTATGATCTCGCATCATGTGGTAGACGACGTGGTAAGAAGGTCTCGTGGTCCTGGTCGGCCTCGCTGTGAAGTTATCGTGCTACCGTAAGGAGCAATGCGTAATGAATGGATGCGATTTTCTGGTCACCGCGAGTCTCGGCTTCGAATAGGTTCCCCAGCCTAGATCTGAGGAGCGGCCTGAAAACCACAGCCCCTCCTCAGCCTGAAGTGGTCAGCATTTATTAGCGTTTTGATTGTATTTGGCGGCGAGCCACGCGTGAAGTGAGAACGGGCGGACCTTCTCAGAAGGCCCAGAAGTCCTCCGACCTGCTGAGCAGCCGAAGACATAACAACCGATCAGAAGGCCAGAGGCCTCCTGAGAAGCCCCGCCGCCTTCTGAAAAGGCCTTCTCCTTCTCTTTTCCCCCCCTCGCTCGCCGCCGATGTACTTGACCGGCGGCTGCTGGCCCGCGAGTTGGCGACGGTTTGGCTGGTGAAAGTGACCAGGTGGCTTATCGAGGGCCTGGACATACCACACTTCAGGTACGGAACTCGGTGAATGAGTCGGATGCGCCTGCGGTTCAGACAAACTTTTTTTCATCGTCGACGGGGTTCGACTGGTCTCAGAGCGAGCGATTTAGGGCTTTACAGGCTGCAGGCCATATCCCGCCTAGACCCCCCCGTCCGACGTCTGTTCCGACGATTGCTTTCCCCAGACAGGCGCCCCATGGGCGCGGTCGGGTTTCTCGTGGGAGAGGTAGTTCCCATCCCCCTCGGAGGCCCCCCTCGAGGCCAAATGCCTCTGGTGGGGGGGTTGCCTCTTCTCGGGGCGGTGCGTCAGGCAGCGGCGCCTGATCGTGGGGTGGGGAAGCTAGCAAGGTGGGTCCTGGCCCTTGTGGCTCCACCGTGCTGGCGTCCCCCCTCACTGATCGGTATGCCCATGCCACGGCGTGTGCACGGCTCCCACGCACTGAAACGGCGAACTGATTCGCCCCTCAGAATCCAGGCTTGCATTTTTTTTTGTGTGTGTGTGTGTGTGTGTTTCGAGGCTAAGCTGACGAGGGATTCCATGAGCATGTCTGTCTGCCTGTCTGTCTCCTCCTCCTCCTCCTCCTCCTCCCTCCTCCTCCCCCTCCTCGTCCTCCTCCTCCTCCTCCTCCTCCTCCCTCCTTCTCCTCCTCTCCTCCTCCATCTCCGTCCTCCTCCTCCTCCTCTCTCCCTCCTCCCTCCTCCCTCCTCCCTCGCCAGCTCCGCTCCTCCGGCCTCCTCCTCCTTCCTCCTTTTCCTCCTTCCTCCTCCTCCTCCGTCCTCCGTCCTCCTGCTCCTCCTCCTCCTCCCCCTCCTCCTCCCTCCTCCTCCTCCTCCGCATCCTCTTCAATTCCCTCCTCCCTCTTCTCTCCTCGCCCCTCCCTTCCTCCCTTTCTCTCCTCCTCCTCCTCCTCCCTCCCTCCTTCCTCCTCCTCCTCCTCCTTTTCCTCCTCCTCCCTCCCTCCCTCCTCCCTCCCCTCCCTCCCTCACTCCCTCCTGCTCCCCTGGGCCAGGCCGCGGGCCCCGCCGCCCCGCCCGCAGGACCGCCGCGCAGCGTGGCCGCGCGGGCGCGGGCGCGGTGGCGATGCGGGCCACCGACCTGCCCGTGGCCCAGACCACGCGGGCGCCCCTCCCCCCCCGAGGGGGGGCTCCTCCTCCTCCTCCTCCTCCCTCCCCTCCTTCCTCCCTCCTCCTCCTCCTCCTCCTCCTGTTCCTCCTCCTCCGCCTCCGCCTCCTTTTTCCTCCTCCTCCCCTCCATCCCCTCCTCCTCTTCCTTCTACATCCCTCCTCCTCCTCCTCGTCCTCCTCCTCCTCTCTCCTCCTACTCCTCCTACTCCTCCTCCTCCTCCTCCCCCTCCTCCCCCTCCTCCCCCTCCTCCTTCCTTTTGTTCTTCCTCCTCCTCCTCCTCCTGCCTCCTCCGTCTCCTTTTGTTTACTCCTCTCTGTCCTCCCTCCTCCTCTCCTCCTCTCCTCCTCCTCCTCCTCCTCCTCCTCCTCCTCCTCCTCCTCCTCCCCCTCCTGCTGATTCTCCTCCTGCTCCTGGTCCTCCTGATGCTCATTCAACTTCTCCTCCTCATCCTCTTCTTCTTCTTCTTCTTCTTCCTCCTCCTCCTCTTCCTCCTCCTTCTCCTCCTCCTCCTGATTATCCTCCTCATCCTCCTGATCTTCGTCTACCTCCTGAGCCCCTGCTGGGGCTCTTCAAGGCACTCCACGGCTTCCAAGACGGCCAAGGAAGACAACCAGGGCCGCCAAGGTGGCCCAGAGCATCGCCTCAGGATGCACCCAGAGCTCCCAAGAAACGCCCAGCAGGTCCCACCACGCCCCCAAAACGCTTTCCAGAGGGCCCCGAGGCGGGGTTGCCGCGCGAGCCCACCACCGCGGCTCGGGCGGGCGCGGGGGCGGGGTGCCCCCTCTCGGCGCCCTCTTCTTGGTGCCCTCTCTCGCCGCATCCGAGGCCCCTCGCGACCTCCTGGCCGCGCCGCGGCTTCCCCGCGGGAGCCCCAGGGCAACCCGGATTCGCGGGCGGATGCCGCGCTTCCGCTTCGAGTCGCTTCGGTTCGCTTCGGCTCCAGGCGTCGACCTCGGCCAAGGGCCCGCCGGAGCCGGGCGCGGCGCGGAGGTCTCGACTCGGCCGGGGCGCCCCGAGGCTCCGAGTCCCACAGCACGCGCCAGGGGGGGGGGGGGGTTGGGCGCACTTCCCCGACAGCGCCCCAGATCGGCCCCCCGTCGTGGACAGCCACCGCGCGCCGAAGGCGCTGCAACGCACGGCCCGTTACGCCGACGGGGCGAGTTGAACCCCTATGGGGGGGGGACCCCCCGCGTTTCGCCGCACCGAACTCGGGAGCGCCTCCTGGTGCCTCTTCGGAACTCCCTCGGGGTGCTCTTGGGTGCTCTTTGTTCGGTCCTGCTGCCGACCATACATCAAATCACGCATGTCTTTGCCCCCAGCAGCGGCTTTCGCTGCCGGGTTTTTGCCCGGTGCCCGCCCGTGCCCGCCCGGTGAGTTGGCTGGCGTTTCCCAGTTGTTGCCCCGTGCCCGCCCCGTGCCCGCTGCGTGCCCGCCCCGTGCGTTCGGTGGTCCTGTCTGGGCTTCCGCCTGGTGCCCGCTTCGCCTGCACCATGGGCCTTTTCTGTGCAGCTGCCTTTCGCTGCCGGTTTTGGCCCCGTGCCCGCCCGTGCCCGCCTCGTGCGCGCCCCGCGCGCTGGCTGGGTCGTCGATTGTACCACAGGCCTCACATGTTGCACCGCCTAGTTTGCACCAAACAGTGTGCACCACATGGCTTGCACCCCGCAGATTTTACCGCACGGCTCGAACCATACAGCCTGCACACCATGTATTGGATCGCAGTGTGCCACGCATGTATGTATGTACGTATGCATGCATGTATGTATGTATGCATGCATGCATGCATGCATGCATGCATTCATGTCTGTCTGTCTGTCTGTCTGTCTGTCTGTTTGTCTATATGTCTGCCTGTCTGTATGTATGTATGTATGTCCGTATGTCCGTATTTCTGTATTTCTGTATGTCTGTATGTTTGTCTGTCTGTCTGTCTGCATGCATGTATGTATGCATGTATGTATGCATACATGTTTGTATGTATGTATGCATGTATGTATGTATGTATGCATGCATGTATGTACGCATATACATGCATGTATGTATGTAGTTATGTTATGTTATGATATGCCATGCTATGCTATGGTATGTTATGTCATACCATATAATGTGATACACTATTATGTTATGTTATGTTATGTTAGGCATGTATGCATGTATGTATGAATGCATGCATGCATGCCTGTATGTATGCATACAGGTATGTATGTATGTACGTATGTACGCATGTATGTATGTATGTATGTATGTATGTATGTATGTATATGAATGTATATGTATGTATGTATGTATGTGTATGTATGTATGTATGTATGTATATATGTATGTATGTATGTATGTATGCATGCATGCATGCATGTATGTATGTATGTATGTATGTGTATGCATGCATGTATGCATGTATGCATGTATGTATGTATGTATGCATGCATGCATGCATGCATGCATGCATGCATGTATGTATGTATGTATGTATGTATGTATGTATGTATGTATGTATGTATGTATGTATGTATGTATGTATGTATGTATGTATATATATATATGTATGTATGAGAGTGCGTTTCACGGGCGCTTGCCTTCGGAACATTCGGCGGCGCGTTTCGAACTGGGGGGTGGGCCCCCCCCCAACACTCGGCGCCGTCGATCAAAACCAGTGGGACTCCCCTCCCCCCCAAACTCCCCTCCTCCCGACCCCCCCCCCATCCCCCTCCCAAGAAGAAAGGAGGGGGTTCAACCCCCCCCCCTCCCCCCCCCCCTTGGCGCCAGCGCGGGCGCCGGCGCTGGCGGCCGCCAGCAGCGCCGACGGCGGGGACGCAGCGACGACGACCAGAGGCAGCCCAAGGGGGGGGGGGGGGTTCAAAACCTTCCCCCCGTCCCCCCCCCCCCCCTGGCGCCGGCGGGACGCAGTGACGATTACCACAACTACCACCACCACCACCACACCACACCACCACCACCACCACCACACCACACCACCACCACACACCACCACCACCACCACCACCACCACCACCACCACACCACCACCACCACCACCACCACCACCACCACCACCACACACCACCACCACCACCACCACCACCACCACCACCACCACCACCACCACCACCACCACCCACCACCACCACCACCACCACCACCACCACCACCACCTACCACACACCACCTACCACCATTGCCTCAACCCACCACCACCACCACCAACCCACCACACAACCACCTCCACCACCACAGCCACCACCACCACAACCACCAGCACCACAACTCACCATTACCACCACCACCACAAAAACCCACCACCACTACCACCACCGCCACAATCTACCACACCACCACCACCACCGCCACAACCACCACTACCAGCAGCACAACCCACCACCACCACAAACCACACCACCACCACCAAACCACAACCACCACCAGCAGCACCACCTCCACAAACCACCGCCACCACCACCACTTCCACAAACCATCACCACAGCACCACCAAACCACCACCACCACCACAACCCACCACCACAAACCGCCACACCACCACCAAAGCACCACCACCACCACCACCACCACCCACCACCACAATTATTATTATAACAAACCACCACGCCACCACCACCACAACCGCCGCCACCACCACCACCACAACCCACCATCACCCCCACCACCGTCGTCCTCGTCGACGCTCCACGCCGCCGCCGCCCGCCGCCGCAGGCGCGGGCGCCGGCCCAGAAAAGGAAATCGTCGTCCACACCGCCGCCGCCAGCCGCCGCCGACGCAGGCGCTGGCCCGAAGAGAGGGAGAAAGGAGAAGTAGAGGAGGAAAGGGGGGGATCCGGTATGTATGTAGCGTAATGTATTGTACTGCGATGTATTATACTGTAATGTAGCGCAGTGCAGTGTAGTCGAGTGTAGTGTAATATAGTGTAGTCTAATGTAGCGTGTTGCAATATAATGTAGTGTTTTGTATTGTACTATTACGTATGTGTGCATGTATGTATGCATGCACGTATGCATGTATGTATGCATTTATGCATGTGTTGATGGATGGGTGTATATAGATGCATACATGTATGTGTGTCAACGTATGTATGCATGTTTCTATCACTGTAGGGTTATTTACATGAATGTACGTGTATATGTTCACACGTTTACATGTATGTGTGTACGTATGCATTTATGTGTGTATGTATGCACGCATGCACACATGCATGCATGCATGCCAATGCATGCGCATTCGTGCCTGTACATGCATATGCGTGTTTGGATGTTCATGCATGTTTATGCATGTTTATGCGTCTACGCACGTATGCAGGCGTGCATGCATGCATGTGTACATGCATGCAAGTAAACAGGCACGCGTTCATGCATGTATGCATGCATGCATGCACGCATGCATACATTCATGCATGTATGCTGGCATGCATGCACGCATGCATGCACGCATGCATGTGTACATACATATACGTGTCTCTCTGCAGGTACATAATTATGTTTACAACCGTACACATACATACATACACATACATACACGTATACATACACATACATACACAAACGTACACACACGTACACATACACATACATACGCATGTCCTAATCGTTGCACGTACATTCGTGTATACAATACATATTTGCATGTATAACCTATACAAATCTATACACACATGTGCCCATATACGTATATGTATATTTATGAGCCGCGCGGTTCGCACCATGTGCACTCGATCCCGTAGGGTCGCGCCACGTAGATAGCAGCGCACAGAAAACATAACCACATATAGCACCACAGTGCCAGCCCATCGACACGACGTAGACAAACTACTCTTTGGGGGTTCGCGCCGGCAAATATCTGGATGGCACCAACCACTCGGGCATCGCGTGCCTGTGCCAGTCCTGGCCAGGCGACAGGGCCTTGGGCCCCGGATCGAGACACGCGCGCCCCTGGCGGCGTGCGCGCACCCCTTCGGGGCTCAGGGTGAGCGTGGGAAACGCTGGCGCTAGCGCACGGTGGGTGCCCTCCCGCGAGGGCGGGCTTCGCACCGCGTCTGGGGGCATGCGTGCGCCCTAAAGGGAGAGTGGGCGGGGGGTGCGGCGAGGGGATGGTACGCGTCCCCGAAGGGAATATTTGGCTGTTTTAAGTAGGTAAAAGAAACAACTATGCTAGACCACCTTAGCCCAAATGGTTGGTGGGATTTCTAATTTGGTCTTTTATATTGACGTCCCCGTCAGCTCACTTCAAGTCTTGTAACTCGAGTCTTACGCTAGGCGGCACTTCCAAATATGAGCAGTAACGCCCCCAGCTGGCGTGATCTCTTCATGATGGATCTGCAGAGTTACCTGGCCCAGAAGATCGTCATTGCGAAAGCCATCGACCAACGTCACCTCCGCGGGCCTTGGTCCACCAGCGTTGGGGGTGGATGGCTGACGGTTCCCGGGGAGGGGGGTCACCCGGCAGAGTCTGCAAGATCGTGGTCCCGCCGATTGCTGTCGGGCTCGGCCTGCTCTTCTGGGGTACGTGGACGGGCGGGCTATTCCCAATGTGGGGTTAGGGAAGCGAGAATCCAGCCAGATGCTCACGTCTCTTTTCTCTAGGGCCCGTTGAGAGCGACTTTGCTCTAATCCCATGCCTGCCCCTACGGTACGCTCGTGTCGTGTCGACGCGGCGGCGACCCGGATGTGGGCGACCTCGACGTGGAAGTGGACGCCGCCAGTGGCCCAGAATCGGCTTACATCGAGCGATTCTGCGCGATCAAGCCGCGGTCGCTCAAGGTCACGCGATCCACGCGGGGTCTGCGACCAACGCTGAACTCGTCACGAGACGAACCTGCCGTGCGGCGCTCCCCTGCTTGCCAACATCTCGCTTCGGCGTCGGCCCGCAGCGCGGGTCTGCTGGGCCTCGCTCGGTGGGGACGCGCTGACGCTGGACGACCTCGAGCAGCCCTCCTCCTCGGCCGCTGCTCAAGATTGGGCCCTCCTCCTGACGTCCTCCTGCTCGTCCTCCCGCTATTCTCGGGTGGGGCGAAGGGGGGATGAGGGGAGGGGGGGAGGAGGAGGAGGAGGAGGAGGAGGAGGAGGAGGAGGAGGAGGAGGAGGAGGAGGCAGCGGAGGAGGAGGAAGAGGAAGAGGATGATGAAGACGAACAGTAATACTAATAATAACAATAATAATGAGATGACAAATATCATAACCACTACTTCTAATACTACGAAACATACAGTTACTACGAATAATACAATGAAAACTCATGGCCAAAGTATTGCATTATACCAATACTAATCGTAACACAAAAGTAGCAATGCCTAGTAACACTATTGAACAAGTAATACTAAGAGTAATAATGTTATTTAAAGTATTATTCCCTACCTAGGCTCTGCCTAGAAGGGTTCTTATTCTCTGGGCTTAAAGGGGCCGGGCAGTGGAAAGCGCCCCGGGCGGTTCCCCCAGTATCCGCCCCGCGGTTCCCCCAGTTACGTCCCCTTAGCTTAGCGTCGCTTATCTCATCTTAGCTTAATGCATTTCATCTTAGCTTAGCTTAGCTTCATCTCAGCTCAGGTTTATCTTAGCTTAGCTTACCTTCATCTTATATTCGCTGAGCTTTAGCATAGCATAGCAGAGCACAGCATAGCATAGCGTAGCATAGCATAGCGCAGCACAGCATATCATAGCATAGCCCAGCAAAGCATAGCATAGCGCAGCATAGCAGAGCATGGCATAGCA